CACCGCCCTGCCGCACCGCACGCGCGAGCCCAGCCCGCAAGTTTGCGCCGCGAGGCGAGTGCGGGTCGAGCGCGCCACGCTTCCGCCAGCCTTTTAAAGAGCGAGCGCCCGGGTCCCCCCCACACACACCTGCACCTCCACCTCCGGAAGCTGGGACTCGCCACCCCTCCACGCCCGCCCCGCTGGCGGCTCCCGCTCCCACCGCACCCGGTTGTCACCCGCTCCGGGAAGACTCCCCTCCTACGCCCAGCCCCGTGCGCGCGCCAGCTCGCCACCCCTGCACCCCAAAGACATGGCGGAGACCCCTCCTCACCCCCACGGGTCGAGGGTCAGGGAACCCAGCTTCCAGGCGCACACCCAGAAAAGTACAGCAGAGCTCAGGGACGCTGAGGGGCGCGCTACACCCACCCGGTGCGTCACTGGAACCCCCACCCGCGGGGCCCCTTCTCAGAGCCGCGTTCACACGTGGCATATGCCCCCCCGTGGCGTGCTCATTTGCACACTCATGTCACAAGCGTGCTGAGGATGGAAACTGAGGCCCAGAGAGGCGACTCCACCTGCCTCAGGTCCCATGGCCTGTGGGGAAGAGCGCTCTTACCGCTGAACCTCTAGCATGCCAGCGCCCCCAGAGCAGGGGAACAATTCCCCACCACCACCCCCGACCCCACTGAGCACAGTGTAACAGGTAGCCGGAGCTAGCCCCAAGAAGAGTCCCTCAGCCCCAGGAGGAAGCAGGTGGCTGCCCCCTTCCCCTCTCGTGGGCTTTGGAGATCCTGAAAGGGTGCCTCGGAGGCCAGTGACGCCAGGGACAGACCACGCAATCCTCCTAGAGCTGCAAATGCAGGACCCAGACTGTAGATGTGACTTCCTGGAGTGGCCAGCCTTGTCCTGGGGAGCCGGAGAGAGGGAGGATAACAGAGCTGGAGAGACCCAGGGGCCTGCTTCCCCCTGCCCGCCTGCAGAGAGCCACCTGGTGTTCAGCTATCCTGGCTGCTGGACCCTGATTTCCAAAGAGTCTAGGGGACTGCTGGGAGAGTCTGGGGACAGGAAGGACTGAGCTCGTGAGCTGTCTGCTTCTCTTCAGAAAGTCCCCACCAAGGCGGCCTACACCTGAGCGCTGAAGCCTGTGAAGGCCGGTGCTGCATCCAACAGGGGACCTCAGTGCCTGGCTCTGAGCCCGGACCACAGTGAGCTTAGGAGTGTGGAATAGCTGTGGGCGAACTGGGTACTCTCATGTTGCTGTCACATGTAATGACCCAAACACATGTCTCCTTTACCCCATCAGTATGAAGTCTCTGGTGGAAGAGGCCAGATCGTTCCAGATCGTTCATTCATCTGTGCTCTGTGTGTAACTGACACCAAGATCCAGCTTCGCTCACAGGGAGGGGCACAGACAGGGCCACGGTGATCCCACAGGGAGGGGCACAGACAGGGCCACAGTGATCCCACAGGGAGGGACACAGACAGGGCCACCAGCGACCCTGCCCCTGGATAGACACAGCCACGATTCCCGCCTCAGCAGCAAGCATCTCCAACCACAGATGCGAAGATGGCAGAGCTCCTTCCAGCCAAGTGCACACGGCTCTTCGAGGAACTGCAGTTGGGGTCCCCCATCCATCGTACCCCGTCACCCCATCTCTAAGCTGTGGCTGAGCACCCTGCGGCCCAGCCCCTAGGCTCCCCTACAAAGCCAGCATAAAGGGATTGAGTCCCCAGCGGGGCTGCCTCTCTGGGACCCTGTAAGAGGGCAGCACAGCAGGCCCTTCCTATACAGAACATAATCTCCAGCATCCTTTGGTTGGATGGACGGATGGAGCTGAAAATAACACAGGCCGTGGTTTATTAGAACCAAAACTACTACAAGCAGCCACTCCCCTACTCCTGCCCCTTAGTATTGCCTCCACTCTGGCCATAATTATCCCCCACCCGCCACCAGCTGTGTCGCTAAAGGCTGGGCAGGCTGTGTTTTTCAGAGATTAAAAAAAGAAACTGTTGCTGGCAGATGCCGAGACTGCGGCTGGGCCGGAGGCAGGTTCCCAGCAGAGACTAGATCTGCCTGGTAGCCATGACACCTCAGGCCACCAAAGCACTTCCCCATCAGCCCTTACCAGGGGCCCCAGCTGGCTTGACTGGTTTGTTCTTGGTGTTCATCATGGAGACAAACACTTCAGAGAACTTCCATGGTGTCTTCTGCCAGGGAGCCAGCCGCCAGAAGTGAGCTCCAGGGAGTGGTGTAGGCTCTGCTGGACCTGCTTCTCCAGGCCTGCATTCAAGCCTCTGTCTCCTGAAGGCCAACCGTAGAGCCCTGAGCCTCAGCTGTTCAGGCTGGAGGGAGGGGACATGGCGTGTCCTCTTGGATGTGGAGCCCCCAACTTTCCTGTCAGCTCTGTGACTGGGTTGAGACTCTCAAGACTCCAGAGTGAGTTAAGCCAGGAAGCAATACCTCCCCTCACCCAGGGACGGGAAGGAACAAGATGAGTAACCCCTGAAGGCCGGGAATCTGTTCTGGGACGTGCCAGCCTCCAGGATCCCTCCATAGCAAAGCAGTCTCCTCTCTACTGGTCCCAAATCCAAACTGCTCTGCCAGCCACAGTTTCAGGGACACTCACAGGACACCAGAGCCTGGCTGAAGGGCCCTCCCCGAGCCTCTAACAGCCACCAACATGGGGTGCACACTGCCCCAAGGTCCCACAGTCAGTGCCACCAAGTTAGCCTTCCAATTTCCAGTCCCATCTGGTCCCCATAAATCCCTGTGTGCCCTTAGCATACCCAGGTCAGGGCCCCCAGGGCGCCTGGACCTTCAGACCCGCGTCTTCTGTCTGCTCTGACTGACAGGACCAGGTGGTACAGGTGTCAAACACACATCTGTGAAGCTGAACCTCCCGGAGCCACAGGGCTGTGCTGCCACATGAGGGTCAGGATGGGCTGCATTCAGCGGCGTGCCAGGGGCCCCTTAGCACCCTGCAGCATGGGAGAGATGCAGTATGAGAGGCCAGGGGTCAGGGTCTCTGCCCATTGCCAGCGGCATGAAGGCTGCACCCGGGGACCAGGGCTGGAGGAGCACTTGCCAGGAAGGCAGAGAGGAGCAAAGGCCCAGCCAACACTGTTCCCTGGCTGCTGCTCCACAGGCCCTGCTCTGAAAGGGAAGCATCTGTTCCCTTCCTCAGACTCAGTTTCCCTCTGAGGAGGAAGGAAAAGCAGGGGAGGCCTGCACAGCCCCCCAGAGAAGACAGGGTGAGATTTCTCCTCCCCTGAGCTAGAGATGAGGCAGTGGTCCCCACGTTCCCTAGGAGCATCTGGGCCTCACACCTCAGAATGGCTAGGAGTGGGGGGGGCTGCCAAGACCGAGCTCTGCAGAGCAGGAAGCTTTTGGACAAGGCCTTGAAAGATGCGAAGGGTTAAAAAAACTAAACCAACAAAAAAGCTAACAGCTCCAGATGTGGGGTGTGGCAAACACAGCTCAATACACCTGAGTCCTCCAAAGGCCCTTGACTCTGCCAACACACAGTGGATACTCAGTGCACACAGCCGGTGGATACTCAGTGCATACAGCTTCTGGATGCTCAGTGCACACAGCCAGTGGATACTTAGTGCATACAGCCGGTGGATGCTCAGTGCACACAGCTGGTGGATACTCAGTGCACACAGCTTCTGGATACTCAGTGCACACAGCCGGTGGATACTCAGTGCATACAGCTGGTGGATACTCAGTGCACACAGCTGGTGGATACTCAGTGCACACAGCTTCTGGATGCTCAGTGCACACAGCTGGTGGATACTCAGTACACACAGCTTCTGGATACTCAGTACACATAGCTTCTGGATGCTCAGTGCACACAGCTGGTGGATACTCAGTACACACAGCTTCTGGATACTCAGTGCACACAGCCGGTGGATACTCAGTACACACAGCTTCTGGATACTCAGTGCACACAGCCGGTGGATACTCAGTGCACACAGCTTCTGGATGCTCAGTGCACACAGCCGGTGGATACTCAGTGCACACAGCTTCTGGATGCTCAGTGCACACAGCTGGTGGATACTCAGTGCACACAGCTGGTGGATACTCAGTGCACACAGCCAGTGGATGCTCAGTGCACACAGCTGGTGGATACTCAGTACACACAGCTGGTGGATACTCAGTGCACACAGCCAGTGGATACTCAGTGCACACAGCCGGTGGATACTCAGTGCACACAGTTGGTGGATACTCAGTGCACACAGCTTCTGGATGCTCAGTGCACACAGCTTCTGGATGCTCAGTGCACACAGCTGGTGGATACTCAGTACACACAGCTTCTGGATACTCAGTGCACACAGCCGGTGGATACTCAGTGCACACAGCTTCTGGATGCTCAGTGCACACAGCCGGTGGATACTCAGTGCACACAGCTTCTGGATACTCAGTGCACACAGCTTCTGGATGCTCAGTGCACACAGCTTCTGGATGCTCAGTGCACACAGCTGGTGGATACTCAGTGCACACAGCCAGTGGATGCTCAGTGCACACAGCTGGTGGATACTCAGTACACACAGCTGGTGGGTACTCAGTGCACACAGCCAGTGGATACTCAGTGCACACAGCCGGTGGATACTCAGTGCACACAGCTTCTGGATGCTCAGTGCACACAGCCGGTAGATACTCAGTGCACACAGCCGGTAGATGCTCAGTGCACACAGCCGGTGGGTGTTCAGTGCATACAGCTGGTGCTCAGCCGTGAGCGGCTGCCTCCTACCCTGCCCCTTTCTCCTCCCCTCCACCTTCCTCTCTTTTTTCCTGAGACTGGATTTTCCAGCTTCTTCGCCACTCTGCAATTTGAAACTACTTATCATCGCTCCTCTCTCCCCGCATGTCCAGGGGCTGTCAGCCGCGAGCCAAATGTCATTAGGATGGATGTCACAAGCCCAGATGTCAAAATACAATTAACATTTAAGAGCTCCTCCCGCCCTCAGCCTAGTGACCAGCTACTCCGTGGCTCCTTCCCCTGAGCGGCAGGGCCTCGGGCACCAAGGAGAGCTGCCTGGAGACAGGCCCCGGAGAGGAGCTGGAAGCAGTGTCAGGCTCGCCTGCACCCCTGGAGGTCCCCTCCATCCAGTCTCCTGCTGGATCTCTTCTTACACTGCCTGCCACCCATACCTTAGGACCCTCGACTTCTGTCCTGGCCCAGCACTGTCACAGGCCCACTGCCCTAACTGGTGCTGCCCCAGCCGCGGCTGTCCACCGTGAATCGCATGTAGCGTGCCACTCACTCTGGACTGCATGGGGAGGAGGGAACAGGCGTAAGGGACCCCCACGACTGGGCCTGGTGGCCCTTGTCCTCCAGCCACACAGCCTAGCCGATGGACGGTGGCCGGAGGGCGCCCTCTGCCACACTGCGGCCCTGGCCTATTTAGGAAGCTGCTGGCCAGAGGCCATGGAGCTCTAACAGGAACTCCCTCCTACCATGTCAGGGCCAGGATGGACAGTAGGCTGCACCTGCCCCTGGGACAGCTCACTGCCAGAGCTTGGAGGAGGCCATCGATCCACCCTGCTCTGAGGTTATCTTCAGCACGCAACACCAAAGACTGGACTGACCCAGAAAACATCCCCGTGGAGGTGAGCAGGAGGGGTGCTGAGCTCTGACTGTGGGGGGGGGGCAGCGCTGAGGGGCTGAGGTCACAGCTGCAGGGACACTCCCACTCCCCAGCAGCCCCAGGTCTCCTCCTCCTCCTCCTCCCCTCCTCCTCCTCCAGGTGCCCCCCCTCCTCCTCCTCTTCCTCCTCCTCCTCCTCCAGGTGCCCCCCCTCCTCCTCCTCCTCTTCCTCCTCCTCCTCCTCCAGGTGCCTCCTCCCAGCCGCCCCGCCACAGTGCAGACCCCCAAAACAAAGCATGCTGGGGAAGAAAAGCTCGCACTGCCAGCTCCGACCCTCGTGGGCTGCATTCTAATGGCGTTTGATTGGATCGGATGCGTTCTTAATTCCCTCCTGGGACATCAGAAGGAGGATAGGAAAGAATCTTTAATTCATCAAACTGAAATATTAATAGACTTTCAGCCAGCTGGAGTGGGCCATGAGGCCCCCACAATGGCAGAAGAGGGGGACAGGAAGGAGAAGGTGGGGACGAGGCTGAGGAGGAAGGGATGTGTCACTGGGGACGGGGAAGAGAAAGTTTGTGTGCCTTTAGGTGTGCTGCTGAGACCGCGTGAGCCAGCCACTCCCCTGACAACCCGCAACAGGCGGATGGACCCGTGTAAGGATCCAAAGCCAAGCCGAAACCGAGTGCGGGCTTTCTCCAAGAGCAGGTAGGTGTCAGAGGAGAGGACCATGGGCACGAGGAGGAGCCTGGGGTACTCATCTGGGTGGGGCCACGCACACACGCATCTGTGGTCTCGGGGCTCAGGAGAGCCCGAGGAGCCCTGATCTGAGGCCAGCCTATCTCTAGCCAAAACCACACTTGGCACTCGGGGCCATCCCCGTGTCTCTTCCAGCCCTCTCTGGCCTTGGTCTCCTGTTGGAGGAGTGCCCCACAGCCCAGGCTGGGCTGGCTCCGGTGATGACCACACCCTCACAGTCTTCCAACCCCACAGTGGCTCCCTCTCACCCTCTGTCCAGACCCCTTCTCCACCCCAAATTTCTCCCCAACTTTAAAGACCCAAGTGGAAAATTTTAGGGCACCCAGCTCGGTGGTCCTCCTCCCGCAGATGAAGTTATGTGCTTCCCCCGTTTATTCGGCTTAGAGTGGGTAACTAACATTATCTGAGTGCTTGGCCGGTGGGCTAACTCCTCTACCCATCGAGTTTAGACTTCACAAAGCGTGGAAATGGGCCAAAAGCAGCAGCGGGAGGGTGAGCATCGAGGCCTGGGGGAGCCCGCAGGGCCCCAACCCTCCCCTCCTGCACCTGTAGCAGCATATACGAATTGTCCTAAGGGTTCTCTACAGGATGAAGTCCCAATTGCCCACACACCCCCACCTTCAAATAAGAGGCCATCTCTTAGGTGCCCACGGCAGCCCGGATGCGCTCCCATCGCGGGCCTGCAGCGCCACCGTGTGGTGGGTGTGCAGCGCTGGCCGGCCTCCGCGTCCGCAGATCTGAGCAGGACCGAGGCCCAGGTGTGAGCCGCCGGCTGAGGGAGCGGAGACACCGTGATGGAGAGGGTTGTTTTCACCTGAACAGATTCTGGGAGGAGGCAGCGGGGGTGGCAGGGGGCCTATTTCAGGACCGTTTCCCAGCTGGGCCGCCGCCCTCAGATTCGTGCACAGACACTCACCTGCAATGACGACAGAGCTTTTTCTAATCCACATGCGCCCTTTGGAAAAGACCCGGGCAGAAGACCAGAGGTGCCGGGGTCCCCGTTTCTAGAGTGGGATGTGATGCCGAGTGTGGAAGCCAGCAAGGACAGCCCTTCCAATCAGATGCAGTCTCCCTCGGGGCCAAGCCCCCAGCTCCTCATCCTTGCTGCACGCTGGAGCTACAAGGAGTCTTATTAAAAGCTCCAGACGGCACCTCAAACCACTAACTCGGATCTGCGCAAAAGGCAGCCTGGTCTACAGAGCAAGTACCAGGACAGTCAGGGCTACTCAGAGAAACACTATGTGATAGTTTAAATAGGTATGCCCCCCCCCACAGAGTCATAGGTTTAAATGCTTGACCCACAGGGAATGACTCTATTAGGAGGTGTGGTCTTGTTGGAGTGGGTGTGGCCTTGTTGGAGGTCACTGTAGGAACAAGCTTTGATGTCTTATATGCTCATGCTACACATCCTGTTGCCGTGGATCAAGACCTAGAATTCTCAGCTCCCGCTCCAGCACCGTGTCTGCCTGCTTCCCACCATGATGATGAGCTAACCCTCCTAAACCATGAGCCAGCCCCAATTAAATGTTTTTATGACAGCTGCTGGGTCATGGAGTCTCTTCACAGCAACAGAAACCCTAGGACATCCTGTCTCAAAAAAAAAAAATCAAAAAAGCCGTGCTGTGATGGCACACACCTTTCATCTCAGTACTTGGGAGGCAGGCAGATCTCCATGAGTTCAATGTCAGCATGGTCTACAAATTAAGTTCCAGGACCGCCAGGGCTACACATAGAGACCTTGTCTTGAAAAACCAAAAAGAGCGCATGCCTTTAATCCCAGTACTCGTGAGGCAGAGGCAGGGGGATCTCTGTGAGTTCAAAGCCAGCCTGGTCTACAGAGAGAGTTCTAGGACAGCCTCCAAAACAATACAGAGAAACCCTGTCTCAGAAAAAAAAAACAGAAAAAAGAAAAACCAAAAGGAAGAAGACTCGACTGGGAAAAGGCACCATCAGAGTGGCTTGCACGAAAGGCTGGGGGCGTTTTCTTGATTACTGATTGGCGTGGGGCCCAGCCCATGCCGGCAACTGTCCTCAGGTGTGTAAGAAGGCAGGCTGGAGCACGTGGCCAGCCAGGGGTATGCAGTGATCGCCATCTGTCTGAAAAGGACCAGCCAGGGGTATGCAGTGATCGCCATCTGTCTGAAAAGGACCAGGAAGCCACGGCAATAGCAGACTGGGCAGACCATGGAGAACGAGCCGGTAAGCAGGGCTCCGCCACGGTCTCTGCTTTGGTCCCTGCCACCAGGCTCCTGCTGTCCTGGGTTCCAGCCTTGGCTTCCATCAGGAACAGACCATGATCAGGGCCTGAGTCCAAAGAGCCCTCTCCTCCCCGAGTTTCTTTTGGTCATCACCTTTATTAAAGCAGTAGACATCAAGTCAAACAAGGCCCCAGCCTAAAACTGTCCCAGGGTTACAAAATACAGCAGGGGCCTAGCTGCACACAGCTATGCTCTCAGTGCCGTGAAGCAGGCTGCCCTGAGGTAGTTGTCCTCAACAACCACAGAGAGGCATGGGTGACAGGAGACGGTGACAGAGAAGTCAGCCTCCTGGGCTTGTCAGCCCCGGTGAGGCAAGGCCCCATACACCAAAGAAAGGTTGTCACTAGTAGATACCATGATTAGTGTGACATTCGTGCCTCTTCATGTGTATATGGGTGCCATGTGCCCATCTGAAGGCCAGAGGTTGAAAGGCTCTTCCTTGATTGATCTCCACTCTTGGGGGGATATTGTTTTTTTTTTTTAGGTTCGTTGTTGGTGTTTCGAGACAGGGTTTCTCTGTGTAGACCTGGCTGTCCTGAAACTCACTCTGTAGACCAGGTTGGCCTCAGACTCGGAGATCCACCTGCCTCTGCCTCCTGGGTGCTGGCACTAAAGGTGTGCGCCGCCGCCGTCCAGCTTAACTTTTTTTATTATATATACAGTGTTCTGTCTGCATGTGTGCCTGCAGGCCAGAAGAGGGCGCCAGATCTCAGTTCCTCTGGAAGAACCGCCAGTGCTCTTAACCTCTGAGCCATCTCTCTCCAGACTCACTTTTTTAAAACTGTGGCATTTTTTGTAGTTGTTCAGTTGGTCAGTTGGCTGATTTATGGAGACAGGGTCTCACTGTGAAGCCCTAACTGATCTAGAACTCTCAGTGTAGCTCCAATTGGTCTTGAACTCACAGATAGCAGAGGGACTGGAGAGGAGTTCCAAGTTCTGCCCTCAGACACGGGACAGAGGGCTCCCTATGGGACTCTGCCACCATGGGTCCAGAGAAAGGGCTGAGGCAGGGGATTTAACCACATGGCTTGTCCGGGGCTCAGATAATGGACCTCCAGGCCCTGTCAGCTCTAACCAAAAATATCACCTGGATCAGGCCATCGAGATGGTAAAGGAATCTGCCTCCAAACCTGACAACCTGAATTCGACCCCTAAGATCCATGTGATAGGAGGAGAGAACCCAGTCATGTAAATTGTCCTGTGACCCCCACACATGTGCCGTGGATGGGCGAGCGCACACACACACACACACACACACACACACACACGCACGCACGCACACGCACACACACACACTCACAGCATGCAAACAGTGTATAAAGATGTTGAACAAACTATTCCTCAGGTCCACACAGCACAGGATCCGCTGCTGATGCTGAGAAGAGACCGGGCCAGGCACACACAGCTGTTCAAACAGCACAAAGCCTGGAAAGGCAGTCTCAGAGCCAGGACACGGAAACAGCAGTGACAAAAGGGACACGCCCTTCATCTGGGAGTAGATGACGTGTGTCCTTGGGAGAGTGACAGCAGATTGCCCACCCATGCACCATTGTCCTGTTTCAATGCAGGCTTCAGATAAGAATATGCAATTCTGGGGGCTGGGGAGATGGCTCAGTGGTTTAGAGCACTGGCTGCTCTTCCAGAGGTCCTGAGGTCTGGTGCCCTCTTCTGGCCTGCAGGTGAATACATGCAGGCAGAACACACACACACACACACACACACACACACACACACACACACACATATATATATATATGCAATTCTGAAGCCATCCAGATGGAAGTGCTCTGGGCCTAGAGCTGCATGAAACAAGGTCTTGAAAGCTGCCGTCTCCCTAGCACTCACACAGGCCTTTCCTGTAGCCGTCATGCGGAGAACTGGGAACCTAGGGTCACAGCGACAGGCTGACTCAGGCCAATGTTAGGCAAAACTAAAATAACATCCTAAGAAATAAGTTAATACCTCACAGTCATTAGCTGAGGACCCTGGGGGTTCACCCAGAGAACTCCGCCGGCTTCCAGATTCTCTGGGATCCTGGTGACTGTGACGTGTCTGCACCCTCCCAAAGCCACATAGAGTTCCAAGGGTGACAAAGGCCTCCCTGTCCCCCTTCCCTTCAGTCCCCAGCCCCTGAGGGAGGCTGTCGGGCGCCCGGTGGGAACTCCGTGCAGAAGGGGACAGCAGAGAGGGGACACAAAGAGAATGTGACCCTCGAGAGAGGCGTGCCTGCTCAGGCAGGGCGTGCTGAGGGGCCGAGTGTCAGGCGCAGACTTCCAGGGACAGAAGGCTTGGCCGGGGAGAGGACTGCCTGAGATCTGTCCATGAAAGAGAGGGAGCTGAGGGAGCCAAGGGTTTGAGGGTTTACAGAAACATGAAGTCATCGTGGCACACGTCTTTAATCCCAGGACTCGGGGGCAGAGGCAGGTGGATCTCTGTGTTGGAGGCCCGGCTGGTCTACAGAGAGAGTTCTGGAACGACCAGGGCTGCACAGGGAGAACCTGTCTCAAGCAACAAAAAACAGCCAAATCAGAATAGCCAGCAAGACCATGGTCAGACAGCCTGAGCGTGGAAAGAGGCGCTGAGCCCATGCAGTTGTCCGCAGAGCCCGCGGCAGGCGCGTGCCCGCAGGTGCACACGCACAGCAATAATCAAGTGAGACTTCGAGCCTGCAGAAACCTGTGCCCCGGTTCAGACCACAACTCTGGAAGTGCGCCGCCTCCAGACAGCAGCACGGGAGCCAGGGAGCCAGTAGGGGAAGGGGGAGGGGGAGAATGAGAAGGTGAAGCAGGAAAGGAGGAGGGGACGGAGGGAGGAGGGGGAGGAAAGAGGACGGTGAGAAGGGGAAGAGGGAGATGAGGCAGACAGGAAATGTGAGCTGGCGGTGATTGTGAACGATGGTGATTGTGAACGATGGTGATTGTGAGCTGACGGTGATTGTGAACAATGGTGATTGTGAACCGACGGTGATTGTGAACGATGGTGATTGTGAACCGATGGTGATTGTGAACCGACGGTGATTGTGAACGATGGTGATTGTGAACCGATGGTGATTGTGAACTGATGGTGATTGTTTCTCCATTGTCAGTTTGACAAGATTGCGAATCACCATGGTAACCAATCTCTGGGCAAGTTTGTGGAGGAGTCTCTAGACAGAGTTAAGAACATGGGAAAACCTACCGTAAATATGGACAGTACCATTGGTCCTGGAAAGGGAGAAAAGGGTGCTGGCGTTCCTCCCCTGCTTCTGAACTGTGGACACAAGGAGACCAGTCCCCTAAACTCCTGCTGCCATAATTTCTCAAACTGACACAGAATAAACCCTTTTGTCGTTGTTTAAGCTTTTCAAGGCAGGGTTTCTCTGTGTAGCCCTGGCTGTCCTGGAACTCGCTCTGTAGACCAAGCTGGTCTTGAACTCGGAGATCCGCCTCCTGAGTGCTGGGATTAAAGGTGTGCACCATGTCCAGCGACCCTTCCTTCTTGAAGTTGCTTCTGTCCAGCATTTTGTCACAGCAACAAGAAGGGTAACTGATGCAGGGTAGTGACCGACGCAGAGGCCCAGGAGCTGGAGAACAGTGAGCAGCAGTGAGGCCATAGCTCAGGAGAGGAGGAGGAGACAGAAGAACAAAGACGGGAGTTCCTGGACCACAGGCCAGTCCTCACCTCCCCCATCAGTCTCATCCACGGCTGACCGAGCAGGACCGCTGGAGAGTCAGGCGCAGCCGTCTCAATCCACTGCAGGGGGAGCAGAAAAGTGCGCACTTGAGATGCTGAAGGGATGAAAATTCTTCCCCAGTAAAATACTAAACACGGCGCTCTGACCTGGGCTGAGTCCTGCCCGGCATCTGTTACAGCTGTGACTTTGTGACAGTTAATATTGACAGCATCCACAGTCTCCTAGGAGACGGCCTCGGGGCCTGCCTGTGAGGAGTCATCTAGATTAGGCTGGATCAGGAGGCAGCATCCCTTGGGCTGAGGCCCTGGACTGGTCCTGGTCACCTCTCTGCCGTGGTGGAACGTGCCCCGTGGCCCGAGTCTTCTGTCTGGGTTGTGGGCTAGCCGTTAGCAGCTGAACATCTCTCCAGGCCTGAGTATTTCGTCACAGCAACCTGACAAGTAATTACAGACTTCAGACAGGAGACAGCGTCACACGTGTGTGGGGCCCAACTCTGCACATGTTACAGGCACACTGTCCTGAGGCACATCCCAGCCCTGGGTTGTTCTTTCAATGTGTATGGGCGATGTGTATGCAGGCATATCTGTGTATGCAGGCATATCTGTGT